AATAGTGGCAATTAAGAGGTGTTGTCGTGTTTGGCGGTGACTAACACTTATGATATCAAAGGCTGCGCTCAACATAATTACATACGAATAGTTGTTACTTAAGCCCAAAATCCTGAATAAATTAAATGAAATTTAATTACAATTAAAAGTTTGATTGAAAAATAGCTGTCAATGAATACCAAAACGAGATATAATTGCGATATTTGTGCCAAAAGTCCATCGTTTGTATGGATTGTGAGCCGTATTCACGATTAATATAACGGTAAGTGAAAAGTGGATGAATTGATTGAATACATGTTAACTAACCATTCAATCAATATTTGTTTCGCTATTTAATGAATGAATAAACAAAAGTCATATGTTTTCATATCTAACATGTAATGTTTATGTGATGTTTGGCGCAGTTTTTGAAATATGAATGTGAATTGAATTCATCAATTATAAAAGTAACCATCATTAGTAATTATTCATTACCACAAACTACCATCATCATTTTATTTGTTTTTATCAACAACAAATCTTGTTAAAATAAATTATTAGAATTACAATAACTATACATTAATATAAATATATACAATGTAAGTTAGACATTATTTACAAATAATATAACTTAATTGAAAGTTATATTTGTGTTGAATTTGCAAATTGCAATCCAAATGTGTTTAATTGGTTGCAATATAAATGTCAAAAGTGAATGTGTCTACAGATGTAGTCGTGGACAGGAATGGCTGAGAAGCCGGCGATCGTTATACCGATGGCAGGACTTACTGTTACGATACTGAGGGCAAACTCTTTGTACTTATGGTTCACTTCGGTGTATATCCTGTGAAATGTGTTGACATAAGCGGCTCCGCCTAACAGTCCCTCGAATAGGATCAGAGATAACACAATCCAAATGTTTGGTATATATCGTAACCAAATGTGTGTCAACACAACCGATAGATTGACGGATTGAAGAATCGCCAGAATATAAATCGGTTTGATTTTAAACAAACTTAGCGACGATCGAGATATCAATACTCCGATCTGTTGTATAAAAATTCATTTATCATTGAATATCAATGGATTGAATGTATGGTCTGACCTGATAGTCAACGTTATACCATCGGTACTGTTCCTTATGACTGAGCCATATATCCGGGAAGTAAACCAATTCAAACTATAATGCATTGTAAATGAAATGATTATAAGTTAATATAATTTG